AGGGGGGCGGAGGCTGCCTGCCCCCGGGAACTCCCCTTCTCTGCTTAGCGCCAGGCCCAGGGAGCACCCTGCAGCCAGCCCATGGCAGTTGCGGGGACGGGGGGAAGCCAGGAGCGGAGGGCGGGGAGCCAGGAGCCCCTGAGCCCCAGGCTGGCCAACCCGCACTCCCTCTGAGGGCCAAGGTGGGGCCTGGCCCTGGGGCCTGAGGCCGGGCAGCAGGCTGACAGTTACATCAGGGGTCCCAGGCAAGGACTTTAGCCAGCCCCGGCCTGGGGATGGACATGGCCACCAAGGGGCCTGCTCCTCCCAAGTGCACGCTGGCAGAGCTGCCCGCCTGACGGTCTCGGCCCCCAGCGGCCCGCCCCCGGAGCGCGACTCCACGGTGGCTGTCATCGTGGGGGCCTCCGTGGGGGGCTTCCTGGCCGTGGTGATCCTGGTGCTGGTCGTCGTCAAGTGCGTGCGGAGGAAAAAGCAGCAGAAGCTGAGCACCGACGACCAGAAGACGGAGGAGGAAGGGAAGACGGACGGCGAAGGGAACCCCGAGGAGGGCACCAAGTAGCGGCCCCCTCTCCTTTCCCTGTACAGTGCGACCCCTCGTGTGCTTCCCCGGGACAGTTCCTGGCCGTGGTGATCCTGGTGCTGGTCGTCGTCAAGTGCGTGCGGAGGAAAAAGCAGCAGAAGCTGAGCACCGACGACCAGAAGACGGAGGAGGAAGGGAAGACGGACGGCGAAGGGAACCCCGAGGAGGGCACCAAGTAGCGGCCCCCTCTCCTTTCCCTGTACAGTGCGACCCCTCGTGTGCTTCCCCGGGACAGATTTCAGCTCCCCGGAATTACTGAGCATCCTTCCCCCACATAGCCCCGGCCCCAGGGCAGGCTGGGGAGAAGTCTGCTGCACGCCTGGCCTGAGCACGGGGCGGTGGGGGTGGATTCGAGGAGCCTAATGAGCACCAGGGTGCATCGCCCTCCAAGCCAGGAGAGCTCTGGGTGCCAGGGTGTGGCCCAGGGCAGGGCCTGGAGCAATCCGGGAGGGCGCTGGAGAGGGAGGGAGGCCCTGAGGACTGTGGGGCTTTGGGGAGAGGGCTGCAGCCGCTCAGCCTGAAGGGCCATGGAGCTGGGGCCTGCAAGCCCTCCTGTACTGAGCTGGCCGGGGGAAGGGCAGAGGGGTCTCCTGCGCCTCGTATTCGTGGCAGAGCCGTGAGCTCCGGGGACCCTTTGCTGTGTCAAGTGATCTGACTCGTCTCCCTGGAGTCACTGGAGCTCCATCCCCACGGGCCAGTCTCCTCCCAGACTCCTTGGAGTGGGTCCCGTCCACAAAGGCACCCGGATCCCTCCGAACCCTGCCCCCCGGGGGAAGGGCAGAGGGGTCTCCTGCGCCTCGTATTCGTGGCAGAGCCGTGAGCTCCGGGGACCCTTTGCTGTGTCAAGTGATCTGACTCGTCTCCCTGGAGTCACTGGAGCTCCATCCCCACGGGCCAGTCTCCTCCCAGACTCCTTGGAGTGGGTCCCGTCCACAAAGGCACCCGGATCCCTCCGAACCCTGCCCCGGGCACTAGCAGGGAACCTGACAGATGGGAAGGCAGCTAGCGTGGTGCCCCAGTGCAACAGGAAGGCAGGGGGGTGGGCGAGGGTGCAGTGCGGCTGTCAGGCAGGTGTGGGGCACTGTGTGTTCGGGCCAGTCTCCTCCCAGACTCCTTGGAGTGGGTCCCGTCCACAAAGGCACCCGGATCCCTCCGAACCCTGCCCCGGGCACTAGCAGGGAACCTGACAGATGGGAAGGCAGCTAGCGTGGTGCCCCAGTGCAACAGGAAGGCAGGGGGGTGGGCGAGGGTGCAGTGCGGCTGTCAGGCAGGTGTGGGGCACTGTGTGTTTGTCAGTTGGGGACGGGTGTGGGGCGCAGTGCGGCTGTCAGGCAAGGAGTCGGGC